ATTATTAATCAAGCCCATTCTATGTGAAGGAAGAGAGTTTTAATTACGTAGACAGGAAAAAAAAACGTTTTTGAAGTAAAATTGAACAATCTAATGGTGATGATTCCAATTTTTTACAGTTCTCATTTACGGAGAATGAAATGCCGTGAATATTGTCTTTAAAAGTTTTGTTTGCGGTGCGCAGTTCCTTGCATTTAATTTTCCTTCTTTTGAGAGGGTAGGCAATATGCGCTCTCAAGAGTTTGATTAGTGGTATCAGAATCTTTAGTTTCAACAGTGCTTTTGCCCTTCCTACTACAACATGTACCTAATGAGAAAAGAATGTGCCACAGAAATTTTATACGCACTCTGGACACCTTTTCTTTCTCCTTTTTTCTCCTTTTCCCCGTTTTATTCAGTTTATTTTTCTTTTCTTAAAGCACCTAACCCTCCCCACAGAAAGCGAAAAGCGTATAAAGGGGGAAAAAACTTATAAAGAGCGTAAACGGCACTGACACTTGTTATTTCATGAAATCGGTAGTGACAAGCTAGAGGAGGGCAGCAGACTTTAAAATAAGAGTCATCAGTCGATGAATCGACCATTGAATCGTCTCTATCAGTTCTACAGATGCACCTTATTACAGCATACGCCTCCATCTTGGTCTCACAATGGCGCAAGTCAGTTGGAGAAGTCCGACAAAATTGGAAAAAAAAGGCAAAAGCTCATAACTCCGTCAATACATACTGCTGAGATTTGTTCATGATTCTATTGGTTTTCTCGTAAATTCCTCTGTGAGAAGCTTTCCTCAAAATTTAAAATCTGTCAAAATAAACTTAGAAATGTGCAGGTTTTGTCAAAAAATTCACACCCGGCCTCTCCTATTGTCTCGGCCTACTGTGCGCCTCGGCCTCGTGACATGGTGCGATAATCAGATGTTTGATCGTTGAAGATTGACAAAAATATCTAAAGAGTCATGCGAGCAGTTGACAGCTCTGCTGTCTTACCGAGAAGAACAGTAACGCTCAAATTCTCATTGTCGAATTCGCTCTGAAAGCCACTCAGTATAGTTCAAATAAACTTACCGATTCTGATTCAGCTAGGTAAAGCAACTAAATTATTCATATTTGTAAAGAAAGAAGACAAAAAATGAAAAAAACGAGAATTATGAACAGTTGTAAGTGAACAAAAATTGACTTTCAAAATTCAGAAAAAAATAGCAGTAAGTCCACATTATTTCGCCAGAGAGCTGCACGTATTGCTGTCTTGAGTACTTCAAATGATATCCCTCTCTACCTGCTTCTGACCACAAAATAATTCTTCTTCTGATGATTTTTTGGATTTTATTTCAGTTGTAGAGCCTGCACCTGCAGTCGTCTGCGGAAAAATCAATAAAATCCTTATAGGGTATAAGTCACGGTTTGGATGGGTTTTAGATAGGTCAAGGATAGAGAGTATATGTTGGGATAGTATCCTTAAAATGTGTCAGTCGCACTTCTAAACCGCCACTACGTAAGCATGGAGAACATAGCATGTACTGATGTATTGCCTAAAATAAAATGAGAAAGGGTTTTTAAAATTTAGAAAATAAAATTCGCCAGTATTTATCATCTAAACAATGTCTGAGGGTCATTTGAGTGATCATTGACAATTTTACGAAGATCGGAGGATTCCGTAACAATTTTTTGTCCGAACGACACTACTTAGGTCCTGTTTTTTTCTAACTTTCAAGTTAGCACTGTTTTCACTTTTCGGAAACACGCAGCGCTCCCACATGAGATTCGCTTCCTGCGGGCCGATTGTCGAAATTGATCGACGAAGTTCTAGACCAAGAAGACAGAAGAAATGTAGAGGGATTCTATTGTTGGAAGCGCCGGGTGGTTGCAATGGAGAAAGGAGATAGATAATAGACTAACTAACGGCAACCCCTGAGAGACCCCATAGTTAGTTCATCATTTTCTCCCTTAATCTACAGGAACCACACATTTTAACAATAGGATCGCTCCATACTCCCTATAATCCTCTTTGTCTATTGCCTTGTCTATCAATTCCAATAAGCAGCCCACTGTCCGAATAAGTTCGATCCGAGTGTGCTGAGCGTTCTCGAACCCACGAGAAAATCACGGGTGAAAGGGCCATTTGCGCATGTCATAATCCATGTGGCCATCAAAACATAGGATCATGTTTTGATGGTCGCTGATCATAGAGCAGTAAAAACTAATATGATCTGATGCGCCCGACCATCTAGTCTCTGCCTCTAGTTTCAACGTAAATATCTCCCTTTCGAAAAAGCGGCGATCGAAGTTTCCACGTGGTAGTGAACACCGTGGTTTTTACCATAGATTGGAATGTTGTTCTCATGGCGTCAGGGCGTCATTTGGGACATGGTCCCCCTCTCTCTGAATTTTTTCCCCTCAAAAATGGAAATTAAATGTCATTACGAAAAGTGTAGCTGTCCTCAACCCCACCAGGAACCCAGATCTTTCCCTGCATTCTAGAATTGACCCTTATTTACGGCTACTACGCCCCGCGACCGCCTCGCGGTTACCCCTTGAAGCGCTTCGCGCCTCAGCGGAATGCGTTTCGTGTTACCCTAATGATTTCGTATCTTTTGAGTATGATAGTGGTCAATTTTCATTGAGCTAACGGAATTTTTCGAAATTTTTTTGTGTTGCCCCCAAGCATGATCACCTCCGAAACGACTTTTGCCCCTTCCCCCTGAAAATTAAACCTCTGGTAGTCCTGGAGCAGTAGTTACGGTAGTTACTGAAAACATTTGTATCTCTGATTGAACCGGAAATTTTGATTTAAAAATTTGATTTTTCAGGAAGTAGATGGTCTATAGACGTCGAAACCTTACAAAACGCCTTATTTGTAAACACCCTCAAGTGGCAATAGACACACCAATGGAGCTGGCAAAAATTTAAATTCCAGAGCATTTCGTCGATATTTCATATGGAACCAGGTGGAAACATTGAATTATTTCTCAGAACTATCAAGTGCGGTATCGCCATTTCCTTTATTAGTCAATTCGATTTCTACGCTTTCCAAAAAATTCAAGTTCATTCGTGCACAATTTTCTATGTGATTCTTAGGTCCACCAGGGTAATTAATGAAAATTGGAGACTTATCCACTTAATCTTTTGGCTTAAAGTAGGCAGATTTAAGGCTTTATATATTGACATTTCTTTTCTTTTGTTTCTTTGAAAGTTAGCAGGTAATGGCAAAAAAACTAGGGCCATTTTAGACTTCAGCATTGGAAATTAGGTGGGAGTAGCCACCTCAGACATCTGGGTGAAATAATACTTGTCTTTTTCTCTCAGACGCCGAACTAACGTATCAATGTGCATCATGCAACATTTTCGATTGGTTTTATTTATTTCCTGATTGTATTCAAGATAGCTCAATTGAGGACTACGAACTTCAGGGGTACAAACTGTCCTAGGCTTCCGCAATTTTCTGCAACGAACGTGCTGGGTTTTCGCAGAAAGGTCAACACAACGCGCTGATCATAATTTTGTTAAATTTTTCGTTAATTTTAGAATGTGTGCCACCCTGGTAAAAATTGGCAGTAGAATCTGTGTTCGAAAGTACCTTAGACCTAAAGCCGACTGTAAGATTTCCAATAGCCTCTGTAGCCGGCTGTACCATTTCCTTTAGCCTTTTATAGCCGATGGCGATTAAGCAACAGCCAGACGATAACGTTTATGCTAAACGTTACTAAAAACGGATACTAGGACTTACTTAATTTTTGGACCACCGCTTTCTTTTTGTGCCGTAGTATCTTGATTTATTTTGCGAGGAATGTTCCGTAAATTTGAAAGATGCCTCTCATTCTTAATATGTGGGAGCGCCTTCAATTTCTTATGATACTGTGCAATACCTCCGGTGTGAAATAGTTGCTTCAGACGCCGTGGCACGCTGCGGCGCGGCGCGGCGGGCGGGCAGAGCGCGGAACGCGCATTAGCGCCTACAAACCTAACAGGGATACTTCACGCATTGCGCAATGCGTGAAGTATCCCTATTAGGTTTGTAGGCGCCAGTGCGTTGCTGCTCCGCTTTGTGTTAGGCTGTAATATTCAATCTTGCGGAGTCAGCGTTTTTCAACTCATGATTTTGAACAATTTGCTCCCTTGATGCACGTCAAAGTCGCCATGTAAGGCAGACATTCCGCATTTCTTCCCAAGAAACTATCTACCTGGGGGTGAATACATTTAATAAAAATAAACGAAACTTTGGAACCCACCCCCCTTCCATTTTTTACATCCACCGAAGTTCTTTGAGAGAGGAACATCGCCAAAATTCCATTTCTTTATCTTGTCCATAAGGTAATAGGGTTGGGAGATCCCGGGTACATACACCCTGAAGAGAGAGACAGGTCTGCCATCTTGCATCGTGCACTTTCTATGCTGAACTTATGGCGGAGCCCTGAAGTGCGCGAACTTATTTGGCGCGGACTGAGGCGCGGAACTTTTCATTTGACAAACTCGGTTGCAGCTTTGCACGCCTCGGGGTTGCCGGGGGGT